CCACACAAAATGCCCCTATCACAGCTTCCTGACTGTGTGATTGGCTTCTCGTTTGGTAGCCTGCTTGCTGTACACCAGCAAGTCAAAGTGTCGGTGCCAGGGACAATGAGGTGATCTGGGGGATGTTTGGTGCGCAACAAAGGCGTGACGGCCACCACAGCAGGCTGGGGTGCGGCGTACAAATTGATGCGTGCAGCGGATAATTTACGCGTAGCGCGCGCGCCTGCATGGCTGTATGGGGCGCGCGCGTGTCGGTATGGCGCGCGCACGCGTCCGTATAGCAGAGCACGCGTCTGTATGGCAGAAATCTGTCTGCGCAATTTTACGGTGTAAAATCTTGAAAATCAAGGTCCACAGACGTCCGGACGCGTCTTTTTGGCGGGGTGCGGCCTAGTTTACGGCGTAAAATCCTCGACTTATACCAGTAGGACGTCCGGACGCGACTTTTGGCGGGGGATTTGGCTGCGCATCCGCTTTTGCGCCGTAAAAGTCTCGGGGCATATGTATAGGGACCCTTGTCAGTTTTGAAATGGTAAATTGTCGTCCTCTCTTTGTCGCGTCGCGTGGACAGTCCGCAAGACTCTTTCCACATCACTTCACGTCGGAGGGGGCCATACCCTCTGAGGTGTCGAATCACGCATTGCTAGTAATGAAACCGCAACACTGCACGATTGGGAAAGTCCTCGGGAAATGACCAAAAGTAGCTTGGCTTGATGTTTTTTCCGTGATACTGGCGGTGGGCAGGATTGACAACGTGCACCACGAGATCTTTGCCCTAGCAGATCAGGACGGTGCAAAGTCAGCATCAACAGACTTGCTTGCCATCGCACGGCTGTCCTGCGCGACACTCAAGAGGGGATACAAGACTATCTGGCCGCAATCAAAAGCGTGATGCAGCGAGTCTTGAAGCCGTAGGGAGGCTGGAAGGGATACGACTCGGGAAAATGCGAGCACTTCTTCGTAGTACTGAAACCGCAATGCAGGCGGCAGGAAGGATCTTAGACGGCTCACAGGCCACGAGTCCATCATTGCGCGTGCGACTCACCTCCGTGCAGTCCGCGTACACCTCCCCTGACATCACGCACCTGCCGTCACGAGCGATGAGCGACTCGCGGAAAGTGGCCTGGAAGACGAGAGGAGGGCAAGACGATGAGTGCGTGGATGCTCTTCGACGCGCAAGCCCGCGGAACAGCGCATATAGACTGCAAAGGAGGGAGCAGCGCCGCGGCGTTGCTCACCTGCTCACCTGCTCTGCGCACGACTCGAAATCTTTCGAGTTTGCTCATCGTGCTGGCATCGTCTGCATCGGTGGGCGCACGGTATCTCAACTTGAAGCGAGGCCCTCTCCGGCAAGGCCGTGTGGCTGCATTGAGGAAGAGGCGAGGGGCGTGCGAGAGCGAGACAACGAGCGCCATGTAAGACGTGGTCCGCGTCTACGTGCCTGTGACCTTGCCCATCTCCCGACACTCAGCGCCAAGACTCACCTGCCAGTGTCAAAGATGACCACGCACGCTGCCGTGACTGCCTGGTCAGGGTGGATCACGTCACCCTCTGTTGATTTCAGCACGCCTTCTCCCTCGTAAGCGCTGTGACACTGCTCCAACACATCGTCGAAAGAGAGGACGTGGCCTGTGCGCATAAATGAATAGGCAAACGGAGCAAGAGTTGATCTGACCTGTCGCGCACAGCCAGCAGCCCCTCGCTGGGCCACTGCAAGAAGGAGGAGGGTGGGTAGGTTTGTCTGCCGATCTCTGCTTGCGCTGGTGAGGTCATCCCTGCAGAGCGAGGCGTGAATTTCGCCTCTCACATGGAGTCGTGAGTGTGTGAGCGGGCAAGCGGGCAAGCGGGCGAGCGGGCGAGCAAGGGCGACGTGGTATTGAGAGTCGAGAGTGACGAGTCTGCAGTCGAGCCGAATCTCGAGATCAACTTATGAGTCAAGAGTCGAGGTGCCGTGGTCGCGGACGCCATGCCCGCATGCATGCGCTGTGCGTGTCGTGCACTTCAGTCAAAAGTCAAGACTCAAAAGTCTCTGACACCTCGCGTCACGTGAGATGCTAGCCGTCGGTGCATGATTCACCGTGATTTCAATCAAGCATCGTGAATCTTGAATCGTGAATCACGAACCGAATTCAAGATGAATGAAGCGCTCGCGCCCGCCCGCAAAGTCCATGCAGACACACCCAACTCCCCAGCACTGCAAGCAATCAGCGTGTACTCCCAACATCACTCGTGACACTCACGAGCCAGCTCTCTGACTGCTTACACACGCTGACTGCTTACACACGCATTCAGTGCGGAGTCCGGTCCTCTGTCCTCTTTACCTGCGCCGCGACACTCCGCCGGACCAAAAGTCTTGGGGACGAGGACGACACTGATCTCGGGCACATTGCAACCCGACTGGGACCAAAGCAGCTTTCCTTTGAAGACGTCACTGTGGCACGCCTGCTAGAGACTGTCCGATCGCCTCCACAAACAACCTCTTCGCTCCGCACTTAGAAGCGTGAAATGTCCGTCCAGGTGCTCAGCAGGCCGGCGAACGGCAACGGCAACGGCAACGGCAACGGCGTGGAAGCGGACGATGGCTCCGATGAGCTGTACATTGAGATGCTGGGTGCGGGTCAGGAGGTGGGAAGGAGCTGCTGCGTGATGCGCTACAGAGGTGAGCTCGGGTGATGGTGCATTAGCGGGGCCATGTATGCGCTTCTTTGAGCGTCGAGGAGGGGTGGACGGGTAGGCTGGTCATCTTGCGCGTGGCTACGCCCTCGACCTGCGCTGTGCCATTGGCTCGCCTGCTCCCTATTGTGCCTCTGCCTTTCGCAATTGACATGACTCCTCCTCCTTCTCATCTGCCGCCGCTCGCAGGCAAGACGGTGGTGTGCGATGCAGGTGTTCATCCAGCATTTCAGGGCATCGCAGCGCTGCCATTCATCGACGAATTGGATTGGAGCACCGTCGATGCGCTGCTCATCACCCAGTGAGTAGCAACCCGCTATGTTCTCCTCCGCGCGCCGCTTAGCGACTACTGACCACGATGACCAACGCACAGCTTCCACTTGGATCACGCCGCAGCGCTCACGTACATCATGGAAAAGACGAATTTTAGAGAGGGAAACGCAAAAGTGTACATGACGCATCCAACAAAGGTGCGCGAGAGGCTATTCGAGGACCTAATCCTGACCTAACGCTGACGCTCTTCGCAACTAATCAGGCCGTCTATCGCTTCCTGATGTCCGACTTTGTGCGAATATCGTGAGTAGATCGCCTGCTTGTGACGAGGCCCCTGCTCACCATGCACACTCTTGCCCCACAGCAATGCTGGCAATGCAGACGATCTCTTTTCCGAGAGCGAAATGCTGGCATCTTGGAGGTCCATCGAAGCTGTAGACTATCATCAAGAGGTGCCAATCGCAGGTGGTCTCAGCTTCACCTCCTACCACGCGGGACACGTGCTTGGTGCTGCCATGTTCCTGATCGATATCGCTGGACTAAAGATTCTGTACACGGGCGACTTTAGTCGAGAAGAGGATCGACATCTCGTACAAGCTGAAGTGCCATCACAGAGACCGGATGTGCTCATCTCCGAGAGTACCTACGGCGTGCAGAGTTTGGAACCGCGGCTGGACAAGGAACGTCGCTTTACCAGTGAGTGGCGGTGATGCCTCTCGGACCGTCACGCAAGCGTCACGCTCATCTGGCCCTGTTTCTCGCACACAGCCATGGTACACAACATTCTGTCTCGCGGAGGCCGCGTACTGCTGCCAGTATTTGTGCTGGGTCGAGCGCAAGAATTGCTGCTGCTATTGGACGAGTATTGGGCAGCCAATCCATCGCTTCACTCCATCCCAATCTACTACGCCAGCAGTCTTGCTCGCAAATGCATCAGCATTTATCAGACGTACATCCACACCATGAACGAGCACATTCGATCTCGCTTCAATCGCAGAGACAATCCATTCGTCTTCAAGCACGTGTCCAACCTCAGAGGACTGGATCGATTCGAAGACAAGGGACCGTGTGTCATGATGGCCAGTCCAGGCTTTATGCAAAGCGGTGTCAGTCGCGAGCTGCTAGAGCGGTGGGCTCCCGATCGCAGGAACGGCCTCATCGTGACGGGATACAGCGTGGAGGGCACAATGGCCAGGGTGAGTGGCAACGCTCGCTGCACACAAGCGCACGCTCACGACGCTCGCACTCTCGACAGAACATTCTCCTGGACCCCGACGAGATCGTCTCCATGGCAGGTCAAAAAATCCCACTGCGCATGTCGGTAGAAGAAATATCCTTTTCTGCTCATGTCGACTTTACGCAAAATTCTCGCTTCATCGACGAAGTCAAGGCAAAGCATATAGTGCGTCTCACGACGATTCGTGAGCATGCCCCATCGCTGACGCGTCATCCCACAGGTGCTGGTACACGGCGAGCAGAACAACATGTCGAGGCTACGAGCAGCGCTGCAAAGCAAGTTCGCGGAGCGCTCAGAGGATGTCAAGATCCATACGCCACGCAACTGCGAGCCCCTGCGCCTGAGGTTCCGGGGCGAAAGGATGGCAAAGGTGAGCGGGGATCGAGCGTGTTGCCCTGACAGCCACTGACTCTTGCCGTCGTACAGGCAATCGGTCGGATAGCGGCAGAACAGCCAAAGAACAATACACAATTGTCTGGTTTGCTGGTCGCGAAAGATTACGCATACACACTGCTCGATCCAGCAGATTTGGCAGATTTTACAGGTCTGCACACCTCGTGCATCACCCAGCGTGCTCGTCTGAACCTCGCCGTCGGATGGGATCTCATCCGATGGCACCTAGAAGGCATGTACGGCCAGCTGCAAGAAGGTCAAGACCTCGAGGGCAAACGCACGCTGCGCGTCATGGGCGCAGTCGATATCAAGCAAGACAATCGACCTGGCGAGATCGTGCTTGAGTGGAAAGGCAGCGCTTCGAACGACATGGTCGCTGATTCGGCTGTGGCCTTGCTCTTGGGTGTCGATTCGAGCCCTGCGAGCGTGCGCTTGACTACGCATCCGCACTCGCATTGCCACGACGAAAAATCTCGTGCAGAGTCTGCAGAGGAAGTGCTGCTGCTAGAGCGGACGGAAGAGGTCGCCAGCTATCTGGATGGGTACTTTGGGGATGTGGAGGAGACGTTTGTGGGCAGCGACGAGGATGAAAAGATGGAAGTTGATCAAGCGAGTGCGGAGCCAGTCGTCAAGGAGGAGGTGCAGGAAATCAAGACGGATCCTGATGTACCGATGACGGAAGAGAAAAGGGCAGATGCCGAGGCGACGAATGTACGAGCGGATGGTGACGCGGCGGCGGCCCCAACACCTCCCACTGCTCCGCGCGCCATGCAGAAGGACCCCATCGATGACCTAAAAGGCCCGCGCAGGGCAGCTCTGTTGGTGCGAGTGGATAATGACCGAGCAGTCGTAGAGATTGACACCTTGGTGAGAGGCGAGAGAGCCATCTTCGGCTTCACCACGGGCTGACACTCCTTCATCCTTTTAGACGGTCACTTCGCGCTCGACGACGTTGAAGCAGCGCGTGGAAAAGTTGGTGTCGATGGCAGTCAGAGCGAACTTGTCCATCAGCGACTACCACACAACTACACCAGCATTGGATACTCAGCTGTTTTTGGGCCAGCATGTGCAACCGCTCGAGCCGGGCAGCAAAGAAGCCTTGGAGTCTATCGGCCCTCGCGCTGGAGCCATTGAAGCGGCAATGGCGTGAATGGCTTGCCCGTGGCCGCAATCGCTCAGAGAGGTCACTTGCGACTTTATATAAATCACACCTGTAACAGTAATGCTGCAATTTTAAGAATGATACACTCCGCCGCCGCACCCTCTGAAAGTCCTTCCCTGGCGTGCTTTTTGCCTGCGTATTCACCATTGAATGAGCAAGTGGGCGCGGCGCGCCGGACGTCCGCGGAGTTGCTAGTAGCGCGCGCGAGCGCTGCACGCGACGAAAATTTTGGTGAGATGCGAAGCAAACGCAGGCGTGCATGGCATGCGTGCTGGGAGTGAGCCTGCTTTGGCTGCACCACCACCACCACCACCACCACCACCACCTTCTTCACGAGTCGACACCACCGCTCCAGCTTTACAGCGCCGCGATGCCTGACACTGGTAAGCGAAAGCGAAATGTCGCCCCTCAAGAGTCCCGCTCCCAAGCGGCTGCCGGCCCCTCAGCAGCTCGCAAGAAGCAAGCTCTGAACCACGCTTCACGTTCCAGAGGCGCCAGGCAGGTCAAGCGCTCCAACGACGATGAGGAGCTGCTAGAATTGGAGAGGCGACTGGACGACGTGGTGAATGGCAAGAAGGAGCTGACCAGGTTCGACGAGATGCCGCTCTCATTAAACACGCTCAAAGGTGCGTGTGCTAAGTGCGCCTCGAGGAAGCCATCCTGCATACTCACCCTCGCATACATGCCACCCCCCTCCCCACCCGCTCCCCACGACAGGCTTGAAGCGTGCCGCCTTTACGGAAATGACACCGATCCAGCGATCCGCTCTGCCACTCGCACTGTCCGGACGAGATGTGCTCGGAGCAGCGCGGACGGGATCGGGCAAGACGTTGTCCTTTCTCATTCCCATCCTCGAACGACTGCATCGCTTGCGCTGGGGCCCTTCCGACGGACTCGGTGGGCTGGTCATTTCCCCTACGCGCGAGCTGGCCATGCAGATCTTTGAAGTGTTGCGCTCCATCGGATCAGCTCATACCTTCTCTGCCGGTCTCGTCATTGGCGGCAAGGACGTCGAAGTGGAAAAGGCTCGGCTAAGCAAGATGAACATTCTGATCGCTACGCCGGGACGATTGCTGCAGCACATGGATCAGACGCTCGGCTTCGATACCAGCAATGTGCAAGTGCTGGTGCTGGACGAAGCCGACCGCATTCTCGATATGGGCTTCCAAAACACCATCGATGCCATCGTCGCCAATGTGCCCAAGTCGAGGCAAACGCTGCTCTTCAGCGCCACTCAGACAAAGCGCGTCAAAGATCTCGCCAGATTATCTCTGCGGTCGCCAGAGTACGTCGCTGTGCGTGACGCAGCGGCAGGTCAAGAGCCGGGCGACGCATCGACAGAGACGCCCTCATCGCTCTCGCAGCACTACATGGTCGTGCCGCTGGAGCGCAAGATGGACATGCTCTTCTCCTTTGTCCGCACGCACCTCAAGTGCAAAATGCTCGTCTTTTTCAGCTCTTGCAGGCAGGTTCAATTCGCGCATCAAGTCTTTTGCAAGCTCAGACCAGGCACGAGCATCATGTGCTTGCACGGCAAACAAAAACAGACGACTCGTCTCAGCATCTTCAAAGAGTTTAGCAAAGCTCAAAATGCCGTCTTGTTCGCCACGGACATTGCGGCAAGAGGGCTAGACTTTCCAGCAGTGGATTGGGTCGTGCAGACAGATGCGCCCGAAGATGCAGATACCTACGTGCATCGAGTCGGCAGAACGGCACGATATCAGAGCAAAGGGTATGCGCTGCTCTTCTTGACGCCGGATGAAGAGTCGGGTGCTCTGAAGGCTCTGGAGGTAAAGTCGATCAAGCCCGAAAAGATCAAGGCGCGGGACAGTAAGACGCAATCCATTTCGAGTCAGCTGCAAGGTTTCCTGTTCCAAGATCCTGAACTCAAGCACCTGGGCCAAAAGGCCTTTGTTTCGTATGTCAGATCCGTCCATCTGCAAAAGGACAAGAGCGTGTTTGACGTCACCAAGTTGCCGTTGGACAAGTACGCAGCAGCTCTCGGTCTGCCTGGCGCGCCAAAGGTCAAATTCGTAAAGGAGGCTCAAGCTGCCAAAAAGAAGGCTGTCAAGTTGCTACAGAAGCAAGAGAAGCAACAAGCGCGCGATGAAGACGGAGCGCCATCCAAAGTGCGCACAAAGTACGATCGCATGTTTGAGCGGCGCAATCAAGGCGTGCTGAGCGAGCACTACTCTAGGCTCGTGGATCATGACGGGGACCAAGAGAGCGCTGACGAGGCAGTCACATCAGCATCGGATGCAGAAGAGATGTCATCAGAAGGCGAGCGGGGTAAAGACGTCCTCTTTGATTCTGGCGAGCCTACGAATGTCGACGCGCAAGATTCAGACGACGACGATTTCCTCACGCTCAAACGTGCCAATCATGGCCTCGAGGATGGCAACGACGCGTTGCCGGCCTCTTCGCATCTATCCAAGAGGGCCTTGGCCATGGGTAGCAGCAAAAAGGCAATGGCAGCGTCCGGCAAGCGAGGTCAGGGCGAAAAGATTGTGTTCGACGAGGCTGGCATGCCGCGCGATGTGTACGAGCTGCAGAGCGAGCAAACGTTTAGAGATGGTCAAGCGGGCGAAGATGCGCAGGAGCTCGCACGACGATTCATCGAAGAGGAGCGTGACAGAATGAAGGAGCGCGATGCGGTGGACAAGGAAAGGCTAAAGGAGAAAAAGAGGGAGAGGAAGCGGATCCTCAAAGAACGCGAACGGGAAGCCAGGGGAGAAGAACCTCGCGGACCTACCATGCTGGCTGATCCCGACGACGACGATGGATACGTTACTCCTGACTTTGTTCTACCAGAAGACCGCGAGGATGAAAGCGGGGATGAAGGCACAGACGAGTCGGAGCAGGAAGGCGAAGCATACGTCGATGAGAATGACGAGGCTCGCGCACTCAGACTCCTAGGCGCATGAACAGACGGTGAGTGTACGACCTCGAGTGCAGACCTTGTCGTGCTTCCATATGATGCTGTACTAGTGTAATTTGCGCCTGAAAAGCGGCTCTACGGGATTACATAAAGGGCTCGCTTGCCGGCGATGCCTGGTCCCTTTGAGCTTGATGAAACTTCACTCTACTGATTGATTGACTGTGCCTTGCTCATGGTGGCGCTTGCTAGGTGACTGTGCCATGAGCTGACGCATCGCTCCACGTCACAGTGTGCACTACCACACCCACCGTCACACACATCCACAATCGCTGTACTTGTATCGCCGACGCGCACGACTTTGAAATGCAACACGTCATGCATTAATGATCTCGCAATATGCCGAGCTCTGTAAGCTCTCTGCGCCGCCTCTGGACCTCTTTGGCTACCTCGTCCGCAGAGGCTCGCAACGTCCTCGCATCCTCCAATTGTCTGTTGCTCTGCGCAGCATCCGCCCACGCAGACACCGATCTGTACTGTTCTTCGAGCACTTGAAGCTCTTGCACTGCCTCTTGCGCCGCCGCAGAGTTGGTCCCGGAGAGCGAAGCGCTCGCGTCGGATTTCTTGGAGCGTGACTTTTCGTTGGAGCCCTTGGTGATCGCGCCGGGAAGTGATTGCAAAGGAAACATCTATCGAACAAATGGGGGGGACGGGAGAAAAGCAGATGAGCTCGAGGCAAAGCAAGGTTCGCACGTCGCACGTCGCACTGCGTCTTACATTCTGCTGCAAGAAGAGATTGGCTCGAGTCCAAATGGACTCTTGTACGCGCTTTTGCGCTTGGTTGGTGCCGGCAGGCAGAGTTTGTATGCGCCTCGCGAGCGCGTCGTAATTTGCAAAGTTGGCAAGGAGCGCTTTCCTCGCCTGCGCAGCGTTCCTTTGCAGCGTCAAGGCGCTCTTGGCCTTTGTTGGAGTTCGTTGCAGGTCCCCATGCGGACCGGTTCCCAGCGCAGCGCTCGCATCCTGCTTCTGCAAGCCCAGCACCATTTCTTGAAATTCCGGCAGAGTCTGTTCGATTTCGCGTTGCAGCTGTATCAACGCTTCGTACAGCTGTAAATACACTGGCACCTTTTCGTCGTCCAGCATGTACTGTCGACGAGTGATGGTCGCCCTACACCGCGTGCAGATTCGAAAGCCTACTCTACCATCAGACGTTGCGTTCGCATCTCGGATGATGCTCGTCTGAGGATCTGCGAGCACGAGACCAGAGCATTTGGCCTGTTGCGCGGCATGTTCGGTTTGAGAAAAGCTTTGTGCAAGTCCCGGCGGCAAAGACAAGTGGGGCGAGGCGCACACGACGCTGCCGCAGAGCCGACAGTGGTGTTTGCGGACAGCAAGGCTAAATGGCGTGCTGCAGGTGATCCAAAGGGCTTGTCAGTGACTTTCCGACGGCAATTCACAACATGCAAGCCGTTCCCTCACGAGCATATAGGACACGTCTTTCTCGCGCCATCGTCCTCCCAGCGCACGATTTGCATCTCCTGCTGGCGCAGCTGGGCTTCTGCGGCTTTCTCCGCGCTGGCCCAGCCTCGTAGGGAATTGGCCCACGAGCCAGCAGAGGCTGACCCACGAAAGCTACCTACGCTCCCCTCTTGCCCGCCTCCGCTAAAGTGCAAAGCAGTGAGCTGCGCGTCGTAGACGTGCAGAGTCAGCAAACGCATCGCTACCTCGGAGAAGTCAGCGCCCAGCTCACCTTTTCCAGCCTCCTCTCCATTCTTTCGCCTTCCAAATCCATCTCCTTGCTGGCCTCTTTGCTCTTGTGATCTCGCCTGAGCGCCAAAAACTCCTCGGATCTATTCCTCTCCGTTCCCTTTGGCTGAAAGCCTGCATCAGCGTTCAGGTCCATGCCGGGCATTGCTGCGATCGTAGCGAAAACATGATCCATGTCAGCTGCGTCGCTGTGTACGCCGCGTTGGATCGAATTTTGAGAGATGGTCGAGGGCGACCTGTTGTGCTCGCGTAGACGCGCCGCCGTGGAGATGTGATGGGGCAACGCCAGTTCACTCTGCCCGGCGAGCGAGCGCGATGGTTTGTGAGTGGTCAGTGCCTGGGCTCGATTCCGGGAAGCTTGCCCTTTGCTTTGGGCGGATGAATGCGCATCATTTCCTCGCGGAGAAGGAGGAGCGACCGAGCCCGGAGTGCGGGAGGGGCCATTCCAATTTGTGGCCGTCGGGCGAGACTTGCCGTTTGACGATGATATCACAGCTGCTGCACCGAGAGCTCGACCGGTCGTCGCACCTGACTCCCCATCGCCGTTTGGGAGTGAAACGCTGAATGACTCGTCTGCAGCAAGCCCATCAACCTGTGCGTCCAATTCCACCGCGGCCTCTGTTTGCGCGGCAGACCTGCTCTTGCCCTTGCCCTTTCCATTTGGGATTGGAGCTGACTCTTGCGCTCGCAAAGCGGATATCCTACGGAGAGGCGGAGGTGCCGCTGATGTAGTTGTGGAGCTGGAGGGCAAGACGGCTTTTCGGGCAGGAGGTGGTGAGCTGACAGAGGGGCTAATCCCATTGCTCGGGGGGAGCACATGTTGGGCACGAGGGGTGCTCTGAGAGGGCCCCGCGTCCTGTGCCGATGCCGACTCGATGGGAGGTGTGAGAGAGGGAGGCGGTGGAGTGGCAGCGGGGGTGATGGATGCTGAGGAGGCTAGGGATGATGCGTTGCGTCTGTGGCTGACGTACGGCCTGTACGTCACCGTCGCCCCAGACGTCGAGGAGGAGGAAGGGGTAGGAGAGGAAGCCATTGTGGATCGCTCAGCATTGGCTGGCTGGCGCGGCGATGGATGAGCACCCTGCTTGGGGCTCGGAAACGTCGCTCGCCGCCTTGGCGGGTGACGAGGAATAGGGGAGGAGGTGGAGGAGTGGCACTAATCAAGTGGGTGACTGTGCGGGAAAGTCATGGAGCTGGGTCGGTCCAGCTGCGCAGTGTTGAGTGTACGAAGCGTGGCGCGTTCCTGAATAGCATCACGTGTCACACCGCACACGCATGGCGTGCGTGCATGTCTAAAGCGGCTTCGACCTTTAGACTCGCGACTCGCGACTCGCGACTTTTCGGACTCTGACCAGCACCATCGTGCCCATCTTGACTGGCGCTGGGCTTACAGTAGACTGGGACTCGCTATCCAGACATCGACAGCAATTTCCATCTCACGTCACGCCATATCAAGCATCATGCAAAGAACAAGCGGTAGAGCAGGCAGCAGCGCTTTGCGCGACTACTACGGCCTGGCCGCCTCCGCCTCCGCCTCCGCTTCCGCTTCCAACGGTTCTAGCAGCGCAGGTACAGCAGTCGCTTCCTCCTCATCCTCACCTTTGCATCCCGACTCGATCAACTTCTCGCCCTCATTGGCCTTGGAAAATTTGAGAAGGACAAAGAATGCGGCTGGATTGATGAATGATCAGGCTAGGCTCTTGACCGAGATCAGGGAACTGGATGGGGAGAGGCAGAGCTTGGTGTACAATCATCATCACGAGCTGGTAGCTGCTAGCGAGACCATACGCAGAGTAAGCGCGGAGCACATGAGCACATGATGTTGCAGGAATTGTGGGAAATGATGGAACGAGCATGCGTGTATGCGTGTATGCGTGTATGCGTTGGACGTTGTCCGAAGCTGCTGTGCGAGATGATGGCATGTATGCTGCTGACACTGCGCCTGCCCCTTTTGCTCGCATCGCTTCGCCTGGCCTCCTGCTCTGCGCTCAGATGAAGACCAGAGCAGACGACTTGACACCCTCACTGGACGCTCTAAGAGCTTCATTGACTCAGATCGACAAGATCCGCGCTGAGCTGAGTTTGCCCGAGCACTTGGTGCAGCACAAGTCGAGCGGTGGGGATCAAAAAGGACGGCAGGCACGTGCCATCGAGCAAGTCGTGGAGCTGCCTACTCGGTTGCGGGATTGCATAGCTTTGGAGCGTGAGTGTTGCTCTTGCTTGTTCAGGTAGCAGCATACAAGCGTGGTGGGGGGGCCTTGAGGGGGGATGCAGCCCGCGAATGATGATTGCTTCGATGCTCACTTTTGCTTTCACCTCGATCTCGCGCACAGGCACGGCAGATGAAGGCCTCGCTGCGGCAGAGAGGCTGTGGGGCCAGTCCGAGGCGGTGCTGTCAGCATGGGATGAAGCGGGGGTACACGGCGTCAAGGAGATTGCGTCGGAATGCAGAGAAGTGCTGAGGGAAGCGAGGGCTAGAGTGTCTGGTGCTGCAAGGACATAGCCAGAGCGTATCGTCTGACGTTGGTGAATGCAAGAGTCACCGACTGGTAATTCTCATTCCGCCTCAGGCGCAGCGTAATCACTCGTCACGCGAGCTGAGCGAACGAAATGGGCAGTGCGAACGCGAGGACGTAGTGTGGTCCTTTGCTGTGCTGCGAGCAGGACGCATTGCGATGACGGATGGATGATGTGGCACTCTCTCCGGCTGGTAGGTCGCTTCAGACAGACGAGCTCCGGGATCGATCCATGGCTTGGTGTCGACACCAAAAAAGGTTGCGATTAGGCGATATGTTTCACGCCCATTCTGACTTGCCGCTCGAGTCAAGTCATGAACGCACTCCGAGACTTGATTCTGAAGAAAGAGTCTTGCCTTGGCCTTGGAGCAATGAGGCGCAGATAGATGGTACGCTGATGGTTCGGTCCGAGTCGGCAAGTAGCGAGACGAGATGGAACACGGATTCGGCACTCTGACTCGGTTTGGCATGCGGTGGTTGTACACGGGGGCACGTGTATACGCGGTGCGGTGCCTCTGACGCGAGCCAGACGACCGATCACCAGCTGCATGCATGCAGGGCTTGACTAAGCTAGCTACCGTACATTACGCGTAGAGAGAGCTCTGCTTCGTGTGGGGATGGATGTGTGCATTCTCATCCTTCATTCACGATCCCCAGCCCCGTGCAGACCCTGCATCCTCTACTTGTTCACCCACACCACCACCACCACCACCACCAAGTATGCAAAGAGCGTTCATACTCTCAAACTCACTCAGACGCTTCAACACTTCATCCACAACAAACGCGCGCAAAATGTCCGATCAATCTTCTCTCTCTTCTGCTGCTGGCGTAGCTGCTGGACACGCCAAGCTAGCCCAAGGTGCCGCCTCAGTGAGTCTTTTCGTCTAGCCCACCAGCGGCCTTCTGGATGAAGTGCTCTTTGCCTTTGCGCTGCATGTCGTGCATGTCGCGCACCGGTCATCGAGGAGGCGCGACTGCATGCCGTGCCATCGTCGACCTATGCTGACACGCTCCCCCTTGCCTATCTCGCTCATTGCGCGCCCGCTCGCCCCGCACGCAGGAAGCGATCGGCAATGCGACTGGCAGCGAAGCGTGGCAGCAATCCGGTGCGGACACAAAGGCGGCCGCCACTCAAGAGATCAAGCAAGCTGCTCAGTCGGGTCCCGATGCCAAGGCTCAAGGTGGCGTGACTGGCACGGCCGCCGAGCTTGCTGACAAGGGTGAGTTTCAGACATGGGGTAGATGCTCGCCTAGCAGGTGATTGATCCCTTCTGCAATGCGTACAGCTTGCCCCCAGACTGGCGACGGCGTTGGCAGCAAGTGAGCGTCTCCCAACATGCCAGCAGACGTACCAGGCGACATGTTTGCGCACCCGTGCATGCATACATGCACTTTCAGTAGGGCGGCTCTTCCTGCTTAACGGTCAGCGACATTTGTCGCGCTCTGAAGCATATGAATTGCGATTGATTGATGCTAGCTTGACTCGCTTGCCTCTGATTCGGTGTTCGCTTTCTTCGGTGGAAGTTGAGGTCGATGGGGCGGTGTGCCCTTGCCCTTGTTCCTCTTGAGCACGCCGAGTTGCGAAAGTCTCAGCGGGGCGCGAAGGGCACGTTGCAGCTGCCCATCGCCCTCGCGTCTCCTCTCAGCGTCGCGCAACCTCTGATCAGGTCTGAAAAGATGTGGCGGCTGCTGCTCAAGCTCCTCCAAGGAGAGTCGAGATGGTGGCAGGAGCTGCGATGGCGACGAAGACGTCATCGTCTCTCCGCGTTTGGCCGCCTCTGCGCTCTCTGCAGCTCGCTGCTTCGACTCGGCAATGAGTTGCAATATGGCTGGCAGCTTGCTCTTCACCTCGGGAGCGCTGCTTGCCCGAACAGACTGCGCTTCGCTTTCGAGCTGCTTGACCTGTTGACTTGAAGATGCTTCCGCATCGCTGATCCGTTGCGCTCCTGCCTCCGGTTGGCTGTCCCGCTGCACCCTTCCGTGCTCATCTATCACTCCGGCCTTGGGTATGAGAGCGGTTGTGCAAGGATGAGCCACATGTTCAAAGATTCTACTCTCACAAACGCGCATTTACTCACCCTATACAGCAGCCTGGCTACCACGTCGGTAGGTTGAGCGCCCACTTGCAGCCAGTAAGCGATCCTCTGCCTATTCCACTCCACTCTCTTCTCCAATCTGGGATTGCGAGCAGAAGCGATGCCACTGGTGAAAAGACCAGTACGTCTATCTTGCGCTGGATGCAGAGTTCCGCTGGCTCTCTCAGAAAAGCTGCTCTGCGAGCCGGTTGCTGGATTGGCCACCACCTTGGGAACCGGATCGTACTCTCCTAGCTTTTCGATAGGGCGAGCATCGCGACGAGCCGAATCGCGGATGGCCACCAAGTGGTAGAAGGGGCTGTTCTTTGGCCCTTGCCGTGATAAGCGTAATCGGACTACCATCGTGGTGTGTGTGTTGAGGGATGCCTAGGGTGCAGTCTGCGCGCTTCCGCTAGGCTGCCAAGAGGAAGCGATCAGGAGGAGCTGGCAGTCGACAGAAAGGCAGGAAATCGTGGGATCAGAGTTCCAGTGCGGAGAGCTGGCCAGGTCAGCGGCGGTGGTCTTGTCGCGAGTGTCAAGATGGGGATGTGAGTGTGAGTGTCGAGTCAAAGTGCAATGTGCAAAGTGCCGCTGGATGAGCTGTGCTGTGCTCGTGACCGCGGCGCATGCTGTATGCGTTGTTGCATCTTAAGATTCAGATTTTGAGCAGAAAGATGCGCGTGAAGCAGCACACACGGCGCCACGTGGCAAATGGCGCGTGCACGACTGGTGACTGGTGGGCACCGCGCACACGCTACATCGACGGCGCTCCGTCGATATTGCCTCTGACTGATGACTGTCACCATATATAATAGGACGAATTACGAAGGCGGATTGACGAACGGAAACTGACAGAAGTTCGAAATGTGCAAGGCTAGCGCAGCTGTGTTTTTTAGCAAGATGAATGCGCGCAGAGCGATAGGTCCACAGTCACGAGTGGAGGATTGCGAGAAAGTGGAGCTGTGACATGCGGAAGATGCTGATAGCACGGACGCAATGCCGAACGAGAAGAGATCAAAGATCAAAGCGCAGCTCAGGAAGGAAGGAAACGGGCGAAGAATCAAGCGGCCTCCGAGGAAAGGTGGTGCAAGCGCTAAAGTGACGCTCGCTCGCATCCAAGCGATGCGGCATGCTGCGTGCGTGTCTTTCGCTTCCACATTTGTCTCGTTATCAGCGCACCCGTGTGGCGCATCGTCGCCACGTCTCGCGACTGAGATAGACATCCCGTCCGTTGATCGAGAGCAAGACGTGTATCGATCACGCGATCCGTTGCATCTTCCTGAATCGCGATATGGCGAGCGTGCCTTTCCCACCGAGCATGGACCGAGGTATGAAGCTGAGGCTGAGCACGTCAAAGGTCCTTCCACTCATCGCCCATTTGGCTTCGCAAAACACCATTCGGCGATACTCTACCGCCTTCAACCGCACCTTCTTGGATGCCCGTCTGCGTGGCGCTGCGTCGTGGACGGGCAGCGCCTGCGTGGCGTCATGCATCAATCGCTCCGCTACACGGTGTTGGTGGCAGGAATGCTGGCATTCGACATCGTAATTTGGGTTATTTAGAGAAGGCTTCCGTCGAGGCGATCGCACACAACTGCGTGCGATGCATGATGCAATAGCTTCAACAAAAACGGCTGGAGCACGCAAAATCCTGGAGGAGCGCCAACCATCCATTTCGGCACGATTCCCCGCAAACGACGCCAGCAACGGATCCGACGCTGACCGATTGCGCTGCGTCTTGCCCGCCCAATCATGCGCGTATCTTGCGCGCTTATAAGCCTTGCCTACCGCTTTGAGCCGGCTTATCGCGAGGCGTTGGGCAAGTGGCGGATGCGATCGGCGCTTGCTGGACCGTATCCCGCTCTCCAGGCTCTCTGCTGACGTCTACAGCACTGCGTATCTTCATGTGCTCATGCCGATAAGGATTCCATGCTGGTATGAACGCAGCATTGCGCCTTTTTCTCATCCAGTCATGCCTTGCGGTGGCGATGGTCTTGACCCATCGACGAGCGCATATATTTTGGCTTCCCTATCAAGATTCGATGGCTCACACCCTCACCCTCCGCTTTCAATGGGAGCATGTTGTTTCTTTCGCCTGCAGGACAGGCTAGATTTGGTTTTGAAGATACCCCTGCAATCGAGACCCTCTTCCGCTCGCAGCTCGACGAGCTGCACGATGCGCTGGACGCTGTTCTTGACCTTTGTCCCAATCGTCCTCGCATCAGACGGGCACCCGGCAAAATGGGATCGACGCGGCATTCCTTCAACACTGGAGCCAATGTTTGCGGAGGCGGGAACGTCAAAAGAGTTGTTTCACCAGTATTCATCTGGAACCGGCATTCACGCCACAGGCGGCGATGCGACAAGTCGCCTTGTCGGTCACGCTCCGCAGACAGGCATAGTCCATGCCAATCACGTGGAAGTGGGGTCTGAAACCACGCTACATGGCCTGACTGATCACGATTGGTCCCTGTTACGGTCGATGCTCGGACCACTTGCACACGATCGATCCGGTAACAATCTGTCGCGCCCCTCATCACCCGCACATTTCAACGAGGATCACTTTGTGAACTCTTTGCTGCGGACACCTTCTCGCCCAGGCACGCCTGCCCATTACAATGATGCGCTCTACGACTCGGATGCGGATGCGCATCAATTTGCCAACTCCTTGCTGCGGACGCCTTCACGGCCGAATTCGCCTGCGCATTTTCGCGATGCATTCCATTGGTCTCATCTCGACACAGAGCTCTCCCTCGGTCCCTTCACACGGACGCCGTTGCGACCAAGCACGCCTGCCCATCATGTTGCGAACCTCCACTCAGACGCGCATATTACAGAGTCGCCTAGATTGAGTTCCTTGGACAATGACCACAGCTCGATCTCGGAGTCCGGGCCAAGTGCGGCCACCTCAGAAAGCACTTCGCCGAATGGCTCGCGAGTCGCGCTCCGTAAAGTCGAAGGCGGGAGGGGCAGACGTCCAGTGGGACTTGAAGTTGCATCTTTTCGGACACTCGAAAACAGATTGAAAGCTGCGCGATTGTCAGGGGCTCCAGCAGATGAGGTTGAGAGACTGAAGCAGCTGACCAGCAAGGCGCGCGCATCTTACAAGGTTCCCGGACCTCACGAGCACATCGATCCGCAGGACTACCCACGGACGCGTCTCGACGTCTTGATCAGACAAAAGTGGAAAGTAAAGCCAGAGCATGCCTCATTGCTGGACAATGCCATCGCGGAGAAAACAAAGGACCTAGGTCTGCCGGAAATACCTCGGACACCGGAACACTACAGAGTTATGCATTACATGCTCAAGACTCAGAGGGGTGCAGATAGAACCAAGTCCTTGCTCGGCACGCTGCCACGATTGGGACGCCCGCCACGTCCCGAAAGCTTACCGCAGCGCAGCGCGCCTGCCGCTTCAAACGACTTTGCGGAAGCGACTACGAAACCTCGGACTCCTTCCGCTGAACAGGCACGCACACCCAGCAGTACAGATAGTGCACCTTCGTCTCCAGCGGGCAAACGTGGTCCCTTTGTCCTGAGGACAGCCAGAGCTGGCCAGAACATGTCCGCCCTCTTTGCGGAGAGGAGTCATCTAAAGAGAGATGGCAAGGCTATGGCGGAAGTGGAAGCAAAGATCGATGCGCTGGCCAAGGCGAAGAACATGCAGACGCCAAGCTCCAAAACGACCTATTACACATTGAAGCGCAAAGCTGCAGTGATTTCAGATCCAAATCTAGAGCAGATGGACAAGCCAATGTCGCCGCGGACAGCGAGCTTGGCTGATTCAACATTCGAAGAGCTCTACAAGGGTCGCGCCGATGCGGAAAGTGCGGAAGCACGCGACAGATACTCGCGCGCGTTGGATGTGAAGGCGCAAAAGTTGGGACGTGGCAAGGCGCCTCCAAACTTGAAAGCGTACCAGTCTTTCAAACGTAGAAAGCAGCAGCGAGAAATTGCGGGTCTACCGCTCAAGCCGTACGACACTACTGGTGCGGTCAAGCTGGAAAGGGAAAGATACGCAGCCATGCGTGCTGGTCGCGACACCTCCAAAATCGATGCGCAGCTTGTTTCGTTGGCAAAACAGTACGGATTAACTGCCATGCCTTGGCAACTTCGCAAAACGCTGCTCGCCATGTTGGAAAAGCAAGACCCCACTTTGAGCGAGGCGCATCCTCCAAAGTCTCCAGCGGGCGCTATACCCAAGGTCTTGTCGGATGTCGCGACCTTTGACTTGTACAAGCTTCGAGTGGTCGGCGCCCTCAAGGGCGAAGACGTGAGCCATGTCAATGCTGAAATCGAAGCTAGATTGAAGAGGGATGCAAGCCAGTCGAGCGAAACATCCAAGTCGAGCGACACTATCGGGGGGTCGCCTGCCTCCTCGGAAGGGGGCTCTTCAAAATAGGCAATCCTGCTGTCCAACATGAGACAAGAGGGCATGTATCAGCAGCGTCAGGGGGGTGCATGGGAGCGCAATTGTTTCCATAGTGGCAAAATTTGTGCCGCCCGACAAGTCGCCCAGTCGCAATGCAAACAGCTCGTTCCCTTCCCCCTCCCTCGTCTTTGCCGTCAGTCATGCGCCAAGATTGCAAAATCCGCTGTCATTTCGTGCCACTTGTGTCGCGGCGAGTGTGGGTGCCTTGCACCCTTTGAGCTGACTAGCTCTGCTTGACTGGGCCGAATCGTACTCGTGATTGTATCTCGAGATGTGTGGGAGGATTCGTAGCCAAAGGCTGGCATGACAGAAACCAAGTGTCTCTCTCTGGCTTCCGACGTACGCCCCATGCGTGATATAGGGCTCGAGCTAATCACGACGAGCGCCATCGACAGTCTGCTGTTTGGAGCGCAAGCTTGCACATGGCTTGAGCACAATCGTGAATCATGACAAGAGAATCGAAGCGGCAACTCGAATCTTGAATCCCACGTCACGACACGTCACGTCACGTCAGGTTGATGAAGTTCCGAGGAAGCCACGAGTGTTGATGCCGCTGCACGGGCATCATCGGTCAAAGCTTCCGCCGCGGGGCGCCGGCGGTATCGCGGCGCCCGTTACGCATGCATGCTGCATTCGGAAGGGGAAGAGCGAGCGAGCGAGTCTGAGCCGATCGATGCGCGATCGCTCGTGAAGGGCCTCCTGCTGCGCCCCGCTATGTGACTCACGACTTTGGCAGCGCCGTTGCAAAAGCCGCACTCGCGCTAGTGCCTACTAGACAGTGCAGACCGCGTAAGGAAGACAAACATTCGTGTCCTTCAGCTGGGCCTCACGACTGACACTCAGACTGGCTCAAACTGCCACCACCTGAGCGATGAACTGAGACCGAGCAAGAGAGCTTAGCTTGATACAGGAGCGGGGTATGCGGTATCGCGTCGGACATCAGCGATCAGGAACGAGCTGTTGTCAAGCACTGTACCGTACATCAGACACGGCCCGCCGTGCGTGCCTGCGAGCGAGCGAGCGAGCGAGACTGACATGGTAGACGCCGAAGGACCGGGGCGATAATTCAAAAGTCATTTGTCATGCGTTGCTTGCTTGCTTGCTGATTGAGAGACCGGACCGCCGGCGAGCGTTTGCAGACTGCAATCCAGCGCCTCTTGTGCCTTGAAGTGCTGTTGCTGCATGATCTCAAGAGGAACACTCTCGTGTTTCCATTGGCGCTGTGCCAGTACCGGCACCGGTACGCCATGCTCCTCACACCGCGGTTCGCCGGATCCGTGCCTGATTGCTTCCGAACACCAGTGAACGGGGATCGTCGTCGCTCTAATCGAGGGCCACGCATGGCATGCTCAAAGGGTATAAAGGGTGGCGCTCCAGACCGCCTCATCCCATATCCATATCCACATCCATATCCTGTCCAAGCATCTCCTTCTCGAGCTCTTCGTTCGCCCGAACATATCCGTCATGTTCTCTTACAAGCTCCTCTCTGCTGCACTCGTGGGCATCTTTGCTGCTTCGGCAGTCAGCGCCTCGCCAGCCAATCGAGCGCCTCTGGTACAGAGAGACGTTGCAAACTGCGAGCAGTACGCCAACGCCGCACTCGTGAGTGTATCGTGCAGGTGGCGCAATGACGGATGATGCAAACCCATCCCGACTAACTCGTTTCCCCCTCCTCCTTCACACCTCCCCACCCCCACCACAGGGCCTGCGTCCTCGCGGCGCTGGCCCATCCACGCCCGTCATCTGGGCTGGTATCGTGCCCGGAGTGAAACACGCCGGTCCAGATGGCCAACAGTCCTCGCTGATCGTCACGCTGGACGATGATGGACAAGCTCTAAAGCCGCAGCAGTTCATCTTTTACAACTGCACCGACGTTTCACGTCCTCCGCCAGCCGACTACACGCCTCCCACTTCGGGACGTCCAGTGACCGGCTACGGATTGGTTCGTCCAGCCGGAGCAACGCGGCACTGTTTGTCGCTGGAGAGCACGGACAATGCTCCAGGCGCGCACAACAGCGTGCTGGATGCTTACTGCACCACCGAAACGGCAGAGAATCTCTGGTTCTACAACACCATCGCTGCTAGCGATGCTAGAATGTTCCTCGAAACGTCCCTCACCACAGACGTCATCATCAGCCAGACCAAGCACAAGGAGCTGCAGTTCATCGCTACGAACCAGAGATCCGACGATGCGACCCAATACTACGACCTCATCCTCTCCAACCCAAAGAATCCCTCTCGCCCTCCCCCTTGAGGTGCGCCCAGGCTGTCCACCGCGACGACATCGGAACTCGCGGCACGAGCAAGAAGATCTGCTCTGCTCTGCTCTGCTCTGCTCAGTCAGACATTCTGCAGTCCTAGCTTGCGCGTTCCCGAGTGTTATGGACGCTGTATCCGAATCATCACAACGCACAATGAATGGACACTTGTATTGCGTAGTGTCGATGTGCTGTATGTCTTGTTCACATTGAGTGCCCATTGACCACGAATTTGTGCGCCTCGCGCCTCGGGAAGATTGGCTGCTTGGCTCGAGAACAGGCGATCGATCCACCACGCCATTGTCGAGTCCACTCCTCGCTCCGCTGCGACGTGATGACCGCCTCGTCATGGTGCGTGACACACCTTTGTGCTGAATTCAAGTCTGGACCCAAATCATGGGGGTTCAATTGTGCAGGCAGAGTACAATGTGTGCCCCGATCCTTGCCCCTTCTGCCGAAGAGGGATGTATGCGCCTGACGTCCGACCCAATGAATCCTCCGGCAGGAATGCACGGTTGCGTCGTCCGCGAGTGCGCATCTCGCGAAACCGATTTCCATGATATTGGCAAAGATCATGGCGCGTCCCTTGCATCTTCGACGCGCCATAGTAGGCTACTCGGTTCGCCACGCGCACCTGTGCTTGCGTGCTAAAACGGGCCAGGTGGGGCTTGAGCGAGTGCTATTGAAATGGCGTGGCGCAGCGCTCTTCAGGAACCTGTGCTGATTCGACCAAAAGACCAGTGTGGCCAGTTCGCGTGCCTTTATGCCAGCGTAGGGCTCCAGACACGTGGCCTATCAACTCCTAGCAGCCAGACTCTTTGTGACGCTATCGATGTACGTTTGCAGCATCTCGTTGTCCGCTTCCGCTTTGGTGCAGTCCGCCTTGACAGCCGACACTCGCGCCAGCAGGGCTGTGCGCAGGGCAAAGCACAGGAAGAAGCAGTACCGACGCGATTGCTGTCAGTGCATGTGGGAGAATATAGCCCGCATGTGGACGCCACGTGTTACCCCCCTTTGCTCGCTCACACCACTCACCCTTCAGACTGCTCTGCTGATTCTGAATCTCGCGCACCAGTCTGCTCTTCTCTACAATCTCCTCTGCAGACACTTCGGTCGTTGCGCCCCACGCCACCGTCTCTGTAAACTCGTCCGTCGCTCGCGTGGTACCGGGCAAGGATACGTTGTTCGAGCTTGCGGATGCATCCGCTGGGTTGCTCGGAGCGGACATGATCAGGCCGAAGTGGCTTGAGCCGAGCCAGCCCAGGCGATATTAGCGGGATAGCCCTCGAGGCGTAGGGCGCGGAATGAGGTGTATGCGGCAGCGCGACGGCTCGTCTTCAATCGTGAATGCGGGATGGTGGTCGCTTTCTGAAGAGTCGCGATGGCGCCACGCACGATGTGTGATTGTGATTTCAAAGATTGCGTGGCGCCGCTTCTCGTTCTGACAACTCTTTCGCCCTGGGCTGCGCAGTCACGTGACCTTACTGTTTGACCTTGTAATCGCAATCCAAAATTTTAAAAGAGATCTGATTCAAGGGCATGATAATCACGTGAATAGAATCATCTTCAAAAGAAACTTGACTCTTGATTCAAATCGCAGCTTTCCTCTGCACATTCAATTGTTACATTCACGCGTGACCGATTCAAGACTCACGACTGCATGTAGGTAGTCATACCTTTTAACTTGGACGCTGACAATGGGCGCACAGACACACGTGCCTTGCGACAACGACGACAATTTGAATACACAAGACATCAAGAGGCCCCGCAGATAAGTGTGAATTGCAAGACTGAGCGCGAAGAGGCCCAAGACGACTTTTGATGCGGAATTGGAAATGGCTGGGAGCGGTTTCGAGGGAAAAAAACAGATGACGACGCTTGCTGCAGATGGGAGATCTGGCAAGATTGAAGGGAAAGCGAAAGCGCGTTTCAAGTCAAAGTGTAGCATTCATGCACTTGCATGTCTGAACAGCAACGGCCCTCTTCTGTGTATCTGTACGAGGATCAGCACGGGAGGTGTTGGCAGGCAGGCAGGCAGAGGCTGAACGATTCCGCTCGAGATTGAGCGCGAGGATCAGCTGTCGTGCACGCGTGTCTTCAGCACAGCTCACCATCAGCCATCCGGCTCACAGGCTCGATCGAGGAAGATTCACATTATGCGGCAGCTGGGAATCGCACGATGGGCAGAGGACTGGCCAGTCATCCTAGACTTGCGCCCCATCGAAGCTTTCTGCGCGGCTCACATACTACGTTCCAATCACATCGGAGGTCTTGCCGAGCTGGAGCATAGATTCAGCTCCTTGCCTCCTCCACCCATCGTCCGTGCAAGTCCCAACGGAGCGGATGGGCACGCAGCAGCAGCAGCAGCGGCAGCAGCAGCAGCGGCAGCCTCGCCGTCGAGCGAGCGTGTGCAAGTGCCTCCTATTCGATTGATTGTGGCAAAGAAACGTGATTGGATCATTCAGCACAAGTTTGACAAATGGCATGTGCCTGGCTGGAGATGGATCGTCGGACCTGAAGAATGCGAGTGGCCCCCTTGCCAGCGTCTGGTCGTGCGCAATGCGAATGACGACTGGCACGCAGACGCAGACGCAGACGCAGACGCAACGGCCGCACCACCGTTTGACAAGTCGTGCGCAAGTGCCTTGCGCGATCTGATAGAGAGTTTGCCAAACGACACGGCAAATGATGAGCAGCAGCAGCAGCAAAAAGGCGCGCTCGAATTCTGGCGCCTCGCAGCGCACTTGGGTCTGTTGACGTCGACGAGTATAAGTGTTCAAGGCGATCGAGAAGCCTTCAACACGATTCCTCGTGACGCGCGACACCGCCACGATATGCCTGCATTGATGTTCCAGCCCTCGCCTGTAGTCGAGCGGGCCATGCTGTCTTTTGCCGACACGGACTCGGGAAGGACGGGCGCATCGGACGGCCGCGACGAGGTTACCGTCGCTAGAGCTCTTGACTTGGGCTGCGGGGGAGCAAGAGATGTGGCATGGGTGTGCGAATACGCATCTCGAGGACTCACACCGGTCAGTGCTCTCTTGCTGCTCTCGTCTGCTCTCGATCGACGTCAAATCAAACGACGGCTCAGATGATCATCACCTCTCTCCACCGACCCTCTTCTTGCTCAGGGTATCATTTGGCGCATAGTCGGCGTAGACTCGCTGCGAAAAGCGCTCTTGCGCGCGGAAATGTTGCTGAGAGATGCGGGCTTTGCGCCTGCGCGAGGTATGCTGGACGAGCCCACACGCCTCCTCGACCATGCATCGTCGTCGTCATTTGCCGGAGCGACCGGCGTAGATGCGCTTGTATGGGCTCGCATCGCCGAGCAAAAGATCAGCGCAGTCCGCAAAGGAGAATCCGAACAAGCGGGTCCTCAGGCGTTGGATGTGACGGGCACGCCACCCATGGGCACGTTCGACATCATCTTGCTCGTAAGGTTCCTGCCGCCCATCGACTTTCTGCTCGGTTTGCATAGATGGCTCAACGTCAGAGGCGTAATGGCCATCTCCCATTTCGCTCTGTTGAGCGGCGAGGAGAAGCAGAGGCTGGAGGCGAACAGCGAATCAGTAATTCCCGAGCAACTGCGATCAGGCCCAGGGACGGAGGATGAGTGGCGCCACAATGGCCTCCTGCCGGCGATCTTTAGCAGTGGCCGCTCCGAACCATCTCTTTGGAGTACATACACATCTCCTCCAATCAGTGCGCGTTTCTCGGCGGATCATCTGCAGCTCATCTTACGAGCCTGGAATCCGTGGTCGAATGTTCCGGCCATGGCGCACAATGTGGACAATACAGCAAAGCGTTGCCCTCCATTCGAGCTCGTGGAGCACCGCATAGAGGAAACAGAAGATGGCAGACCTCTTCGAAGTGTCATTATCAGACGCAATAGATGACAATCAAGCGTGTGACTACGTCGATTTGTATTTTGATTTGTGCGCGCGCCCGCTACTTGGCCGTACGGCGCCTGCGCGTCTACTGCTTCGCTTCGTCATGTCTCGCTCATGCGGTACGCAGGATGAGATGCTTGCCGCTGTCGGTAGAGACAATATCGCTGAGCTGGCCGACCTGAAGAGCGTACGTATTATCCTCAAACGCTTTCTGCATTTGTCCCTTGCCAAAGAAACCGAGATCTCCACCTGATCTGGCCGACGAGCAATCCCTGTGCAGGAGCCCAGTGACGATGGGGAAGCCTTGATGGTCAGACTGGAAACAATGCATTGGAGCGCGCGGCTCGAGTAGTGTGTGCTCGGCAGCAAAGTAGTTCGCCTCAAGCAGCGGACGGCTTGGAGCGCGGCACAACTGATCGCCACTCACGAGTGGACCTTGGCTAACTCGGCAAACTTCTCCGGTGTAGGGTTGGCGCCAAGGGAGGTCAAATGACCCTTGAGGATCTCCTCCGCTTCAGCAGGGCTGCGGATGATGTTCGACTGCGTGGATGGAAGAGGAAGCGGACATGATGAGCATCAAGTGAGCAGAGCGAAACGAGGAGCGTGCCCCCACTTGCCGCTACAAATAGCCGCGCACAAATAGCCGCGCATACACTCACCTCTTTCCACGAGCTGGGTCTTCTGCTCTCTCGATGCTTGACCAGCAAATGGCTAGCCCTCACTTGGCCAGCATGTCCAGCTGCCGAGCTTCCATTGGTAGCGCTGGCCGCTCCACCCAAGTATTGCGCCGCACCGGGCAAGGATCTGATCTGAGAGTCCGATAGCTCTGAAGGAGGCTCCCAGGATGATGCGCCAGTGCTGGGATCGTGAAAGTAAGGCAGCTGCTTCGAGTTGCTGAAGCGCACTTCCCACGTGGATGACATTGCTGCGATGGTGGTGATGATGACGATGATCACGGGTAGTCCTACTTCAACGTCTCGAGGTTTGTCGTCGATGATTGCGGTGTGCGGTGTGCGGTGTGCGGTGTGCGGTGTGCGGTGTGCGGTGTGGTGGAAGGGAAGACGGTAGACGTGTGTATAGGACTGCGAGAGAGATTGGGCTTCAGCTAGAGGTTGCAAGTGGTCCATGGAGCGCACGGTCCTCTTGCGCACAAGCCATGCCATGCCATGCCATGCCGCCCTTCCAACGCGCCGCGGTCGATCAACGCGCGCGCTCGCTTGTCCGTGCTGCTGCTGCATGCATAGCAGACGTCCGCCCGTGCCGTGCAGGGAGCCTGAGGTCGCTCGCTACGCTCCCTGCACCTGACCATCATCAACACGAAAAGGAAAAGATAACGAGTACTCGTGACTCTGGTGACTGCAAAGGCGCAAGAGACGAGCGCATGGACTCCGTGACTCGCATCCAAGATGGAAAGCGCGGGTGCAGCGAGGGAGACGGCTGGCATGGCCGTAGACCAAGAGCAACCTCGCTTGAAGCGAAGTCGAAGTCGCACTCGCACTCGCACACGCACTCGCACTCCCAGCCGGGATCGCACTCAAAGCCGATCTTCGCATCGAGGCAGCAAAAAGTCGAGGAGGAGGAGCAGGCGCGAGTCGGACATGCTTGGCCGCAAGAGAGGCAGAACAAAAACATCCACAGCAGCAGCAGCAGCAGCAGCAGCAGCAGCAGCAGCGCCAGCGCCAGCGCGCCAGTCTGTTGGACACGAAGAGAGCAGCAGCAGCAGGCTTCAATCAAAATTGGATTCGGCTGTGAATGCGGTGGATGGACAGTTGGAGGCGAGCCAATTCTTTCATCACGTGCCTCATCTCAGACCTGCTCTGATTGGTTGGAAGCTGAGAACAAGAGCTTTGAATAGGGAAAGAAGGCTTCAAGCCTCCTCCATACCCATTCCTCTAGCAAATGCTGCTCCGCCTCGCGCATTCTCTTGGCGAGATTCAGAAGGGGAAGGACTTGAGGGGGCGCGTCACGAAGCCAAGATCGGCTCGCGCACTTCTACGAGCCTGTCGCGCAGATCCAAATCGGCCAGAATAGATCCGCCGATGGGTCTCAGGCTGAATCAGCCCTCCGAAAGATCATTGCAGGTTCAAAAATTGCACGATGTGATGCATCTGATGATTGCCAAGAGAGATCCTTTGCGCGCTGCTCGAGCGCTCAGGATCCTGATGAGATGCCACGAGTGGAGACCGATTGAGCTTTACAGGATGGGATTGGAGATAGCAGGCATGGGATGTGTGGACAAAGCTTCAGGCCGCAGAAGTGTCAGCCATGCATCCCAGCCCTCGCTGCACGCCACTCGGGCAAAGCTCAACTACATCAGAGCTCTTTCTAGCAAGCGCGCCTTTCACGTACGTTTCTTTCTCATCTGCACGTATTGCTTGTAGACGACTTGGCTGACGTCTTGGCTTGTGTTGTGCACGCGACTCAGCGCGCAAACTTGCTCGTCGAGCTTGTGCCGAATCTCATCGCAATGGGACAGAGCCGAGAAGCCTTGGAAGAGATCTCAATGTGAGTGGCGTGCGCATCGTTCACATCTCGCTTTCATGTACATCGAGCCTGGTCTGACAGCGACGTCCAAATGCGGTCCCCCCCCCCCACAAAGAGTCATCACATCCTGGCCCTTTCGATCCGAACCCATGCTGCACTTGTACGCTGGTTTGTTGATCTTGCAGCTCGGTGCTCTCGAGCTTCCCACTGAGGACGTTCCCAAGGAGGAAGCGTCGAACATGCGCGCCCCCGAAGTTCACATACCTCCTTTTGATCCGGAGCGGGATGCGGATCTCCTCCGCGTCGCTTCGCACCACTTTGAAGGATGCATCAATGCCGGAGCGACCCAGTCGACCTTGATCAACATGGAAAGACAAAGATTGCAGACTTCTCAGAAGCTCAAGACGAAAAAGGCAAAGAGGAGAATGCGAAGCGGGCTGAAGAAGAGGAAACGAGGGATCGCAGAGACGGATGACAGTGGAGAGGAGGAGGAGGAGGAGGAGGAAGAGGAGCAAGGTGAAGGAGGAGAGGGCAATGTGGAAGATGCGATAGATATCAATACGAATGCTGCGAGGGATCAGTGGGCCGTCGAGATGGCTCGCGCATATCTGGACCTGGTGCGTCCATCGTGGCGCCATGCGTCATCAACGGGACTGCGCCAATATCATGTCGCATGCTGACCCAATCTTTCGCGCGCCTGCCGCCTCCTGTTGCTCAGATACGCACTTGGTTGCCGCGCAGGAGCCGTTCAGCTAGCGCGGCCGAGTCGCAAAGACGTCTGAAGCGCGAACTCATCCAGGAGGGTCTGGAGTACAGAGAAAGGCGAGAAGGGTCTAGCATTTCATCTTCTTCTTCCTCCTCCTCCTCCAGCAGGACCAACGCTTCTGCTCCCTCGCAAGCTTCTTCATCATCCAGTCGATCCGCCTCGGACGCGTCCAGAGCTTCGTCTGACAGCGATAGTTCTGCCTCTGATAGTGACTCGAGGTAGCCTACACCGCCCCTCTCTAGATGTAGCATAGAATTCGAATCGACAGTCACGATCCTGTGCTTCCGCACGTGCACGAGGCGTGTGCCCAGCCCAGGAGATTGAAATCAGTCTCTCACCCCAAATGGCAGAAGATTCGCGACTTTGCGAAGCGCAGAGCTTTGGGGAAATCAGAAGCGCATGTCCTGAAAAAACACTGACATCAGTCAAGAGTGCGTGCCGCGAGGGACATGAGCACTGCCTGCTTGCTCGTACAAGGCCCGATCAGATCTTCAACCCTACGTAGCTTGATCCTTCAGTCCTTTAGCCCATACAGCCGCTCTAGTTGGATGCGTTTATTGCAATCATACTACAATCGCACAAGCGCCGAGTTGTCGTCATTTCGACTCGTGATGGTACAAAGTCGAGCTTAGATCAGCAGTCGCTCGATCTGCGTCGCGCGAAAGGGGGGGACGCGGTCAGCGACAAGCTTTTGAGCTAGTGGGGAGACCGCATTGAACGCTGAAGCCTTGCGCACGCCTGACGCTGCGATGGGCCGCGCTAGCTGGTGCGCCCTTCTATCTTGTATGCGTGCCTTCTATGACGAAACCCACACCTTGAGCTTGCCATTCGGAGCCCCTTGCACCGCGGCGTCACCCCTCTAGCACGCAGCGCGCCTATTCGTCTGAGCCCGAGACAGCAGAGCTTCTACTCACGGCGTTCTTGACGGACTGAATCTGACTCTGAAGTTCCCGGGCTTCGTTGGTGGTGACGCTAGCTGCCACCACTGGACGAGAGACACCGCAAGCTCTTCCGAGCGCC